CCAAGGGCCAGGTACATTATACTTTTACTAGTATAAGTGATCAAAAACTAGTCTATACCTGTAACAGAACACAGTTTGGTGCACAGAACTGGTTTAGATCCGTAACACAACAGAAGTTTGGCACGCACTCATAGGCTCATTAAACAATGGTGGAACCTGTTCTAAAATTTGCCAGCCCTGCTTCTCCCTCCCTCCCAAAGGGCAAATGTGTGTTCTGTTCGCTACTGATCTAAACTATGCCACTTACAGAAAACTGCATAACTTAGCTTGATTCTGTCATGACCCAAAAGGCATGATTGTGTGTGCGCTTCAGCACCAGAATTATCCCCGCCAAGTTGCAGAGCATTACACGGGAGTGTTTCCTGTTGCAAAGAAAAACCCCGGTGCAGGGATGAGTTTCCCGCCTTTTCTGCAGCTTCTTTTGCAAGGTGCATTGCTTGAGTTGCAAGAGGAATGCACGGTGCAAAAGAGTTTCCGCCACCGGTATGCAAATTCGTTCCCCGTGATTGGCTAGTGTTAAATTATTCACACGTGGCGGCTAGCGATTGGCCTGTTAGCCGTATAAGAGGCTTGAGCAGTTTCCGCCCAAGCCAAAGAGGACCCCCCATCCATCTCGTGGGGGCTCGGGAAACCCTGTGTGAGATCCAGAGGAGCTTGGCGGCCTGATCCACCGCCCACCTCTTCCCGTCTTCGAACGCGACTTTTATAAGACGTATTTACGATTTCTATTTTGGTGGCTCGTTCACCCAGAGCATCCGGAGCTCTGCACCGTGGAGCCTAGCAACCTCCACGAGACCGTCTGTGTTGTCTGTCTGTAACTGCAACTCAATCAAGTTTTCCAGCCTACACCACTGCCATCTCGGTGTAAGTAAACAATCTTTAAAACTACCGATACGCATCTGTGCCTAATTCCAGCTCGACGGCCTTCCCTCTCCGACCCGGCGTGCCCGGGCTGCTGGCCACAGCCCGCGTGCAGCGTGGAAAAGGGCTCGGGTCGCTCCCGGCCCGCACAGATTCCACCTTGGGCTTTTTGAATGTCTGTACTTAGCCTAGTTGTTCCAGAAAGGCAAAGAAAACTGAAACTAAACAAGCAGAAAGTGTTTGTTAGTACTAAACATAGAAATACATGGGTTTGATCAGAGAGAACTGGCAGAGGGTAAAAGGGATCCAGGAAAGACTTGCTATTTATCTTCCCCCAGTGGTTCTTACCCAGTCAGATTATACTATCCTACAATGGGCAGCCAGAAATGCCAGAGGATCTTTTTTGGCTACAGTCAAAAAAAGCTGGCCTGCAGATTTGTCCTCTGCCTCTTTTATCAGTAGCCAAACCACCAACACACCTATAATATAGGCAGCAGTGCATCTGTGGAAAGCAAAAACAGCTAAAAGAATTATGAAACTCTGGTTCTTATAATTCATTAGAAAATGGGATTATTTGCAAAATAAAAACTGTAATTTTGAAAACAGCTACATGAATTATGGAGGTAATATTTAGTTGAGTGTTTAGCAAAAAATATAAAAATTACATATGGATGATTTTTTTTTTAACTATTTGAAGGCCTTATATCTGTGATAAGAAGGTATTTTAACAGAAATACCATAGATTTGAAACGATGTCAAATTCTTAATTTCTGTATATCTTAGCTTCTTACATGGTTTTACACTATAGTTTCTCAACACTTTCTGCTCTTCAATGTCAATAATTCTGTGAGAAAGGGAAGTGCTATTATCACCATTTTCAGAGGAGGAATTGAAAAGTTGAAACAATTAGTGAGTGTCTGTATAGTACAAAGCTGTGCTGTACAGAGATATCTGAACTAGCTTGGGTACAAGAAGCAGTGTAGCACTCTGCCCAGATTAATATAACCTGTTTCATGGCAGAAGTAATGTGTCTATACCATGGGTGGGCAAAATACGGCCTGCGAGGCTATTCCATCCAGCCCGCAGGGCACCTAAAAATTTAGAAAATTAATATTTATTGGCCCATGGTTCCTGTAAAAACTGACTGGAGCCAGGGGCAGTAGGACACAGGAGAAGCCCAGCGGACTCCCACAACAGCAGGGCCCACCTGGCCCTGGCCCCCCAGCCCCAGCCCTGGCTTCTGGCTTGGGACCATGTGGCTGCCCCGGCACGGGAACCTCAGGTAAGCGGGAGGAAAGGCAGGGGAGGAGCACAGGAAAGAGGGCCAGGGGAAAAGCTGAACATGGGAAAAGTGGCCCCTCGCCTGCTCCGTGGCTGGTGCCCCACACTGTAGCTGCTCACAGCCTGCATGGGGCTGCCTGTGGGAAACTGGTCCCAAGATGGTGACCAGGGGGCACCTGTCAAGGGGCAGGGCTACCCACAACTGGGTAAGCAGCCCTCCACCCAAAATAATTGCCTTCCCCTGGTCTATACTGCTTTTAGTACCCAAGCTGGCTGACAGGAACAATAGGACTGGGTCATCCAATTCCATGTTTACAGGCAATAATTGACTCAAGGAATCCACCAAATCACTACTTCAGCTACACAAAACTACCAGGCACAATACCCAAAATGTGAACACTACCATATCCTGCCTTAAGTAAAATCAGGTGAGATTAACATGCTGAGCCAATGCCTAGGTACTGCAATGTCAGGGAAAGATTTGGTTGTTACAGGTTTAGAAGATCGTAAGAAGAGGATGATGCTCCACACAGAGGAAGGAAGATCAGACTGGGGCTGTGCCAGCCTGATCTAATGGGAAAATTCCTTCTTGACTTTTTGCTGATTTATATGGCTGTAAGCAAAAGAACAAAATCCTCTAGTTAGAAATTTCTGAGTTTTAAACACACTAGCAGAATCGATAGTGCATCCCAGTCCAAAATCGCTAGCCTTCACTGTGGCTGAGGTCCCAATGCTTCAGAGGAAGACAAAAACAAAAATAAAACCCCTAGAAACCAGTAGCTTTTTGGGGTAAAGTGAATCCTTCCTGGTCCTAGCTGCCAACCAGGAAAAGGCCAGAGCCATAGGATTGCAAGACATCTTCCACATTTCAAGGGAGCTACAAGTATACCTCAACCTGAAAACAATAAACACATGACTTCACATATCACGCATACTGACTGAGGCAGAATTTCCTGTTCTACCATACCAACTGTTCCATAAAGGTGCCCTGTCCAGCCTAAAAATAATTTGTGTTCCTGCCCCACCACCTTTCCTGGAAGACTATTCCAAAGCTTAATTTTTCTGACACTTAGAAATGACAGCCATTTACAACTGTGTAAAAGTGGATTTAATTTAAAAGACCACCGATTCAGAATGCTAGCATTTTACACCTAATATATTTATCCCTTTTCTTGCCCCACATTCAGAAGAAGCTCTTCTGGGTTCCATTTTTCTACTCACTAGTCATATCACTTTCAGAAAAGTGAAAGTGAATCTGCTAGCTTTAAGGGAAGTCAGATAAAGTTTTTCTTTATTATGTTGATTATTTTTTATTTTGCAGTTAGGGTGGGAGAGGAGTTCTGTAAGTCTTTCCCTCCTTCTAGGTGCTTTCACTAAATGAACATCAGTTCAGAAGAAGAAAAGCAATATAAAGTATTAAAACAGCTTGTGAACCAAGGAGGAAAACATTTATGTAACTGGTCCTAGAGTGATGGGAAGTATATGTTTACAGTTACCAAATTGTTGTTGTGCTGCAGTAAGGAAATCTAAGGGTCTTATCCTTAGAGAATCAGTCCCTGGTAAACTCCAACCAGTGTAGGTCTTTTAACAAATGTACAAAGGATGCTCCAGTAGTATTTCCAAGGGAGCAGCTGTTATCAGCTCACCATTATAGGAAATATTTTAAAAATAAAAGGCAACATGATACTTCTAGAAAAAAAAAAAGTATTTAGAGGTTAATTTGGTAGCTGTTACTTTATTAGGCAGTTTATAGTTTTATTTTAGTATCTATCCAAACTTAGGATTGTACTGACACATAGGTAAATAGTAGTCAGACAACTGCTAAGAAATGATATCCACTTTGTTCCATTTCTTTATTTTTTTTTAAAAACAAAAGTCTCTCAAAACTCAGATTTTCATCAGTTGCAAGCTTGTTTTGATCATTTTGGCTACATTTTGACTTCACCACAGGTAGAAAAAAGCGTTCTTTGCTCTGGACCATATAATCTAAGTAAATTGCAGACTTGTTTTTTGTGTTTTGTTATTTTCCCAATTAACTTAAACTTGGTAATCAGAGTTTGTGAAAGTCGTCACAGCATACTCTGATGCACTTGATTCATATAAACAATGTATCTGTTAGTTCCAGAAGTGCATCCCTGGTTTTAATAACATAAATAGTTATAGTACATTGGCAAATCAAATAAGATAAATAAGGTTAGCTAAATGCAAATTGTTAGAGCTTTCTTAAGAGCAAAGATTTTATTTTTCACCTGTTGCACTTGACTTATAGTTGTGAGCTTATAAATTTCTTGTATGTGCCAAACAAATAATTCAGCATCTACCTGAACAGACTCATGATAGCATAGGAGTACAACAGAATTATGCTATGTCCCCGAAATTTTAAATGGTGTTGAATTGTCTCTAGCACAGTTGTCTTGCTGTGTGCTGGAAGGGAGTGGAGACTAAATTTGCAGCTAGTGTGAAAATTTATAGGTGTTCCCAAATGAAATGACTAAATAACTAAGCTTCAGATTTTACAGTATCTGTACTCCCTAGAACCAAATGTTCCAACATTAGGAAGGTCTTCTGCTTTCTATTGCTTCTAAGGTTAAAAAAAAGTTGTCTTGCACAGTTACTGTTCATGAAGAAAAAGCTATAAAATCATAGAATTAAAGACCATATCATAATGTGTGCCCACAAGGAGCTTAATTAGGTTTTCACAGGAAAATTTGGTTCTAGCTTTTTCTAAATTTTGAGTACTTGACCTTGTAAAAAAGTCCCTTAATTATAAATTATTGTGTGTGTATAATTGCCTAGGTTTATAAGGAAAGCAAGCTAGAAAGAAACAGAAATTCTATCATGTGGCATTTTCTTCGCAGCTGTAAAGAAAAGATTGGAAAGTCAAGGTCAAGAAAAGGTAGAACTTTTAGATCCACTTGGGTGAGACAGCCTTGAGAAAAAAGTTGCCTGGTTCAAATGAAGAAAGGACCTAGAACAGGAGCTGGAAAAAAAGGTAGGAACTGAGCTTTTATACTAATGAAATATGCTACCATGATCTAATAGAACAGGAGGAGGGAGGACCTTTTTTTGGTAGGGTTGCCGCCATTAGCCCCACGTCCTCCCCAAGTGCTACTTCAATCCCCTTTTTCTGGCTAATCTGCTGCTCTGTTTTCTGCTCCCTACTCTGTACTTCCTGCTCGATCTTCTGCTCTGCTTTCTATTTCCTGCCCTATCTGCTGCTATATTCCTGTCCCCTCCCCTTTCTGCCACATGCAACACACAGAAACTGTTCTTGTCACTTACGGCACTTGTGTCACAGGTTGGCCACCGCTGTAATAGAACACAGTAATAAGACTGGAAAGTAATACCTGGCTCATCAAGTCTAATCCTCCTCTCTTTTAGGCAATTACAGTACATCATCCCATTTTAGTAGAGTTTTCATCCTGTATATGGACCAGTGTGAGGAGGTAATGAGATAAATACTTTGCAGGTGGCTTACTTGGATATACATCTGCTAAAAGAGATGGAAAATACTTTATAGATACTTTTAAAAAAGAGCTATATGGAAGATAAAACAAGATCACATTTTCTACTTTGACTGTACAAGTCAGTTCAAAAGCCACAATACTTTATCTTCATCATTTTTTTCTTACTGTAATAGCCAGGATAATAATGTTGCAGAAAGAGAGAAACCACTAAGACAAATAAAGGTATTTATCTTTAATGTTTTGTGATTGTTCTTACCCACCAGGAGGAAGATGAGATTTCTTTTACTTCTAGTCTTTTATCAGTGTGTCATGGAGAATGTTGATAGTAACAGAACTTCAAATCCCAACTTCATTTTAATCATGGCTGATGACATTGGTATAGGAGACCTGGGATGCTATGGGAACAAAACTTTAAGGTATGACAATATGCTTTGGGGAAGTAGCACTGCGTGTTAAGACTCATATATATATTATATTTGTCTTAAAAGTAAGTTAAGACATAAAAATATTTTAAATTATTTTTATTGTATACATATTAAAATATTATATTATCAGTAATATTGTATACTATATAAACATGTAATGCATGTTTAAATACATATTTAAACAACACAATGTTTACAGTTACAACAAGGTTCATTTTGCATGGATACATTAACACTATTTCTACAGCATTAGACTATTTAACTTTGTTTTCATTTTCTTTCTGTGATCATAAGGAGATGCTTAGATAAATATATTTACACCAGTAAAGAGCTCTAAATTACAAACAAAACAAAACAAAAATCAATTATAGTCCAATGAAAAAAATATGATGGATAATTTTCTTTTAACACAATTTGAAATGAAAATTGCAAACAATATATTTTGGAGCAGTCTGTAATTTTCATGGAATACGTCTGTGCATGAATTCTTTTATCATGGAAAGCTGCTGCACCTTAGCTTCTACACAGCTCTTGACAGAATGGGACCTTGATCTAATGGCAAGGAGACCAAGACAACTTGGGATCTCATTCCACTGCAGTCTTCATCCTCTCCTGCAGCCATTAAGATTATTTAATAGATTTCATAGTTTTTCAGGATTGGAACAGACCTCAGCAGATTATCAAATCCGACTCCCCATCCTTGGCAGGAAAGAGGGCTGGGGTCAGATGACCCCAGCCAGGTGTTTGTCCAGTCTCCTCTTAAAGACCTCCAAGGAAGGGGAGAGCACCAGTTCCCTTAGAAACCCATTCCGTATTCTGGTAACCCTCACTGTCAAGAAGTTCTTCCTAATGTCTAGTCTAAATCTCCTCTCTGTCAGTTTGTGACCATTGTTTCTAGTTACTCCAAGGGGTGCCTTGGTAAACAGAATATCTCCTATTCCTTGCTGCCCCTCTCCCCCTCCACCCCACCCCCCTCAGCAAATTTGTAGACAGCCAGCAAATCCCCTCTCAGCAGGCCAAAGAGATCCAGATCCCTCAACCTCTCCTCATAGGACCTATCCTGCAGGCCCCTAATCATTTCAGTGGCTCTCCTCTAGACCCTCTGAAAGCTATCCTCACCCCTCTGGAAGTGTGGCGCCCAAAACTGAATGCAGTATTCCAGCTGTGGCCTTACCAGTGCTGCATAGGGGGAAGTATCACCTCCCTAGACCTGTTCATGATGCAACTATTAATGCATGATAGAGTGCAGTTAGCTTTATTGATCATTTCATCACATTGTTGACTCATGTTCATCTTTGAGTCAACTATGACTCCAAGATCCCTTTCTGCTGCTGTGCTGCTTAGAAAGTTATATCCCCCAATCTGTATGTGTGTTGATGATTCCTTCTCCCTAGATGCAGTACTCTGCACTTATCCTTTTTAAACGGCATCCTATTTTGTTGTGCCCAATTTTCCAGCTTGTCCAAATCCACCTGAATCCTCTTCCTGCCCTCCAGTGTGTCTGCCTTGCCCCATAATTTGGTGTCATCCGTGAATTTGGATAGCGTGTTCTCTACTCCCTTGTACAAATCATTGATGATGATGTTGAACAGCGCTGGCCCAAAGACCAAGCCCTGTGGGATACCACTGCCCACATCCTTCCAGTTCGATACCTACCTGTCCACCACTGCTGTCTGGGTGCGTCCCATTAGCCAATTTGCCACGCATCTGACTGTGTAATCATCTACGTCACAGCCAGTCATTTTTTTTTATGAGACTGGGATGTGACACCATATCAAAGGCTTTTTTAAAAGCCAAGTATATGACATCCATTTCAACTCCTGCATCTATGCAGTTTGTGATCTGGTCCTAAAAAGAAACACGGTTTGTCAGGCAGGCAGGATCTACCTACTATGAATCCATACTGGTTGCCCTTCAACATTACTTTTCCTGCTGGACTCACACAAATGTATTCCTTAACAATTTTTTCAAAGGTTTTCCCAACGATGGAGGTGAGAATAACCAGTCTATAGTTACCTGGATCTTCCTGCTTCCCCTTTTTGAAAATAGGGACTACATTGGCCCTTTTCCAGTCCCCTGGGACCTGCCCCGAGTGCTCAAACAGTTTTGTCAGTGGTTCTGCTATGACACCGGCCAATTCTTTCAGCACCCTTGGATGAAGATCATCTGGGCCTACTGACTTGAACACAGTAAGCCACCTTCCAAGTGTCCCTTCACTAGGTCGACACTAACCGTTGGTGGGCCGGTGTCTCCCATGTGCCTGTCTATCGTCCAGTTTGGTAATATGTCTTATCTGTGTTCAGGAATACCGATGCAAAAAACTCATTGAAGAGCTCATCTTTGTCCCTCCTCTCTGTCACTAATTGCTCTAGCCTGTCTATAGGGGTCCTTTGTTACCCTGCACTCTCTTTTTGCTCCCTATATACCTGAAAAAGGGCTTTTTGTTGTCCTTAATTTTTGTTGACAGCCTGAGTTCCACTGCTGCTTTGGCCTTTCTTACTAAATACCTGCAAGTGTGAACCAAATAGGTATATTCCTCCTTGGTGGCTACCCCCTGCTTCCACAGGATGTATACCTCTTTTTTCATCCCTAGGCTTTCCTGGATTTCCCTGTTCAGCCAAGAGGGTTTCCTGGCCCCCTTGCCATCCTTTATGTGTAGTGGGTGGCAATAATTATAATATCCTCTTCTGTTTGTTCCACTGTTGAGGACATGTAGACCCAGGGCTAGGGACTAGGCATGCTTATTATAGTGGTGACTTCTATTTGCCATGTTACTCTACCATCAAAGGATATATGTGGCTTTTCAGGATAGAAAGCATTGCCATCTGCTGTCCTCACCACATCCTGCTGGTGCTCCTGCTGCTTGGTCTGTGACTGCTTATTCATCAGAGTTATATTCATCAGTTACCCCTGCTTATTTCACAGCTAACCTTCCCTGAAGGTCATTCCACTATTTGCTACCTGTGGATGTTCAGGGTAGCATTACAGCTCTGCCCCGCATTTTATCTAATGACTTTTAAAAGCAATGGACAGTGGTTCAGCATAAAAAGGAACACTGAGGAAGGCCTGAGAAAATGCTTATTCTGTAGTATAGATGTTTTATCACTTTGCCAGGAAGTCAGCAAAAAATGCAGGTTCAAACCTCAGCTGGGTGAAACAGCTCTAAAACCAATTTCTGTGGCTTCCTGGGAAAGTTCCCTAGCTACTTACTAGTGGGACTAAAACATGGAAAGGCCCTCTCCCTCCCCCCACCATGGCAATATTTTTTCCCTAGATTTATCCTGCAGTACACTCATAAGTGCCCAGCCAGTATGTAGCATACTGCACAAGCACAGTCTAAGCACTCATGCTGATGGGTCTACAATCCAGAGTCCAATGCAGTGGCCAGGTACATAGCTAGCATACTGTCATTGAGGAGCAGAACAGAAAATAGAATTCCACCTTAAGTGACTAGACCTGGCCTACTACACATGCTCAGAAGCAATTTAATACAACCATATAGGCACAAAATTTCATTCAATGGAGAACAAGGGCTCCTATTACTTTAAGAATAAAGGTACAGCCCAGGGCCACTTGTGCACATGATAAAATTGCCTTTTTTAGCAGTTTAATTGCCCTTTTATTGCAGTTTAATTACATCACGTTACATATGTGATGGCATATTGTGGTTTAATTTTGTCACAATGTACATGTGTAGTGGCATATTGTGCTGTAAATGATGTTGTTATGTTATTTACAGTGCAATATGCCACTGAACATGTACATTAAGCAGCAGGAGGGTGACTGGGCAATGTTCCCTCTAAGGAGTAGTGGTCCATGAGTGTGCCACTTAGGTCCGTGAGCACGCCGCTCCGCTCCCGCCTCCCCCTTTTGGCACAGTCCACCGGTAAGTGTCCCATAGTAAGTGTCCAGATGGGAGTGGGCAGGGTTCAACCACCACCCTTCTCTATGCCAACTGCTGCCCAGAGTAGTGTAGTGGAGTGCTGTGGCTCAGCCATGGGCCAGACACAATCAATTGATAGAACTGAAAGGGAGGTACCAGGGCTGATGCGGGACACTTACCGAAGGTAAGCTCCTCACTCCTCACACGGGGTAGGCAGTGGCTCCTCCCCGAAGTGAGGCAAGGCAGGGATGGGGGCTGGGGCTGAGGCTGGGGCTGGAGGCTAGCATGGGTTCTGCCGGCTCCAGGGAACTGCTCCGCAGGCTCTGCCAGCTCTGGGGAACTGTGCCACTCTCCAGCCCTGATGCCATGTGCTTTCTCGCTCCCCAAGGCAATGCAGGGGTGTGGAGCAGTTCCCCAGAGCCAGCAGAGCCCAAGCCAGCCCCCATCTCCGCCTCGCCTTGTCTCAGGGAGGAGCCACTGCCTGCCCTGCATGAGGAGTGAGGAGCTTACCTTCGGTAATTGTCCCATACTGGCCCTGGTGCCTCCGCCACACTCCGCGCCCAGCTTCTCTCCAGGCGGGTGTGCAGCATTAAAAAGTTGGCACGTGGCAAGGTTTTTAATCGTGCATGGCCGCACATGCGCGCAGCTTAGAGGAAACCTTGTGACTGTGTGTGCTGGCAGCTGGAGAAGGTGGCAGGGATGGTGCAGTGGACACTGGAAGCCCGCTAAACCCAAGCTTGTGCAAGCCCCCCCCGGGCTTGCAGCACTCCATGCACTGTCCTCCACCACCTTGTCTGACTGCCAGCCCACCCAACCGTCCTCCTGCTGCCTCCCTTTGCTGCCCCAGGGGTAAGCTGGGTGTGTTGGTGGCTGGAGAAGACACTGGGGACAGTGCATGGGGAGCTGGAAGCCCAGCAGGAGGGCTCAGGGATGGATGTATTGCTCCAATTTCTTATATAGTAAACTAAAATATATATTGGGTGACTGGTGCCACACATGCCCCCCCAGCAACCAGGGGGAGGTCCCCCCACAGCCGATTGCACCAACAGTGGGGGAGGGGGGATCCCATGGCTGATCACACTCACCTGGAAGCAGCTGCTTCACCCGGCACTGGAAGCGGCCACTTCATTCAGTGCTCCCACACCTTGACCAGTGCTCACAGAGGGGGCACCAGCACTCCTGCCTGCCCCCCGTGCCCATCGCCTAAGTAGGGAACAGTGCATGACAGGGGGTGCACCGGGACTTTCAGGGGGTACACGTACACCGTTACGTAGCAAACTAGAATACATCCCAATATATATTTTAATTTACTTATGTAACAAATTGCAGCAATGCATCCAAACCCGATCCCTCCTGCTGGGCTTCCAGCTCCCCATGCACCATTCCCAGTGCCATCTCCAGCTGTCAACACACCCATCTTATCCCTGGGGCAGCACAGGGAGGCAGCAGGAGAGTGGGCTGGTGGTCAAAGAAGGTGGTGGAGGACAGTGCATGGAGCACTGGAAGCCTGGGGGGGGCTGGCAGAAGCTTTAGCTTAGCGGTTTTCCAGCGTCCAGTGCACCATCCCTGCTACCTTCTTCGACTGCCAGCATATCCTGTCACCCTCCTGCCACCTTCCCAGCAGCGTCTGAGTTGTGGGGGGCCTGGTCCTTTCCTCCACAGTGGCAGCGGCCCCTAGGACTGCCCAGGTGGGCTGTTATTGGGCTGGGTGCTGCCCCAACTTGGAGCCAGCACCCATCCTGTTAGCAACCCACTCGGCTGACCCCAGGGGGAGTGGTTGCCATGGAGATAAGGACTGGGGCCCCCTGCAGCTCGGGCTGCTTGGCCCACTGGCAGCTTGCTCCTCTGGGGGAAAAAAAAAGCGGCAAGGGGCCCAAGCCTTTTTTGGTTTTTTGGTTTTTGACGGATTCTACCCACAGCCTTAGGGCAAGCTGCCAGCATCATCTGAGCCGCAGGGGGCTCCAGTCCTTTCCTCCATGGTGGCAACATCCCCCAGGTGCTGGTTCCAAGCAGCTCAGGGCCCAGAGTCAGATCGCCCCCCTGGCCACGAGAAGGCTCTGCCAAAAAAAAAAAAAAGAATCAGGCCCCTCACTGTAACAGTGATGAAACCCCTAAATTGAAACGGTGGGTTTTTAATTGTAACAATTAAAAACCCAACAATTAAAACCCCACCATTTCAATTTAGGGAGAACTAAGTCCATGTCACACGTACAAGTGGCCTAGCAAATATTCATGCAGCACAGAAAAGGACTACTAGAGTCATTCTGCAAACTACAGGCACTAGTGTACAAGACTGCAGATTTAGGGAAATTAGCAGCACGCGGGCTGCTTGTCAGGAATGCAGGTCATGACTGGGAGTGGGAGGAGAAAGGAGCCACATAACCTTGAGCCAAGGGCTTGGGATTCAGTCTAGTCCTGACCTCAGGTAGAAAAAGAGCTCCTGTCAGCCTGAGCTGTTAAAGAGAAGGTGCAGGGAAGGAACTCAAAAGCAGTGGTTCTTAACCAGGGTGCTATGACACCCTGAGGTGCCTTGAGATCCTTTCAAGGATGCCCCAGGGTGCCACACAGTGTTAGCACTGTTTGGTTTACAAACATGTTTCTCAAGATAAACCCAAAGATTTCAAATGGAAATCCACAGCTGTGTTTTTTGGGGGTCTTTTTTAGTTCCTTGCAACAGAAAAACAGCTTTCTTATTTCTCTGTAGTCAAAAAGAGAGTGAAAACTAAGAGCTTGAATTTTGCAAAGGCATCCAAGCCTATCCTTGAGTCTAAAAAATGTTGAGAGCTGCTGCTTTAAAGCCTGGGAGGGCACTAGCTAAGTGGGGATGAATCTAATGAGGCCAGAGCAGAGTCCAGACATGGTCAGCTTAAAATAGGGAAGCAGGGCAATTTATCCACTGAACAAGCGCTACTTGCAGCAAGCCCAAAGCTGTGCCTGTCCTAGCTGGATGAGTGAGGGAGTTGGGCCAGCCAGTCCCCTGAAACCATAGGCAATAGGCCCCACCTGCTCCACCCCTTAAAAGCCAGGCCCAGCCTCCAGTATCCTTGGCCAGGCAAAAGTTAAAGTCCTTGGTCCTGACCCTTTGTGTGCTTCTTGCTGACTCTGAATTTTTAATTCGAGCTTCTAATTCTGGTAGGACCATTGGCACCCCTCATTCTGGTTTGACCTCTGGCTTTTGGTTTGTCATCCTAGTGGACCCTCAGCTTATCTTTTCTCAGGCTCCAGCTTTTTACCCCTGTCAGTCTTGACTTCAGCTACAGTTCCTGGTTCCAGTTTCAGTGCAAGGCCCCTCCATAACCCTTCCTCTGCAACCCCCACCCCTCCCCCAGCTCATGGGAAGCCAACCTGGATTGCACCTGTACTTCAGGTGCTTAACCACTAGGTCAGCCAATCCACACCCAATCCCTAACAGTTTCCTGGACTATCCTTTTCAGATCTGCAGGACAGAACCCAGGAGTGGGAGTATGAATCCCACTCTGCCTTCATAGGCCCCAGAAGCTCCTGAATCCCAGGAAGTGATCACCCATTTTCCAGCAGGCAGTTCAGGGGATCCAAGCCCTTGTTGAACAACTGCAGGGGATGAAAAAACAGGACGAGTTAGGCTGCCTGGAGGAGGCCCAGGCTAGAGCCTGGTAAATGCTGAGAAAGAATCTCCAAAATGAGAATGAAACCCTCAGGCAGCAGTGGGACTCGCCTCTGGTGGCAGGGGCCATAGATGAGCCCAAAGTCCTGCTCCCTGAGTGTTCCCTGGGGATCCAAAGACATTTTGGAGATTTCTAAATCTATGCCACCTGCTGTTTATGCTGTGCCTCCATACCCAACCCACAATCCAGGCCAAGGTGGAACTGATCATTAACCTACTTGCAGGTAGCATCCTGACCTGGATATCCCCACTTCTAGAGACCTCCAGTCCTCTTCTGAAAGACTTGGACAGATATTGAAATGCAACATCCTTTGTGTACTCAAACCCCATCAGCAGGCAGAGCTGATTCAGGGAGATCCCACATGTCAGAGACAGAAGAACTGGCAATAAGCAGCAAACTTCTGCTTGTATTGTGGAGCACAAGGCCATTTTGAAGCCACTTGTCCCACCAAGTGCAGGTGGGGACCCACTGCCAGGAAACTGAGGCGTCCAGCTGGGGTAAAGGGATGTTGACAGGGCAGTTAGGTTAGCATGAGGTTAGCCTTGTATCAGGCTTCCCTAATCCTGGGCAGCACCTTAGCTATTAGGTTGTTGGGCAAAATGTTGGTGTCACCCATACTTTACAATCAAGTCCATGCTGCTTTATGTGCATCTTCCTGTGCAAAATAGGATTGGTTTCTGGGACACACCAGGGGAACCTTGGAAAATGCCTAAGGAGTGCCTTAGAAATACATACAATTACCATTTTGAGCCTTGATGCATTTTTTTGAGAAAAGCAGAAACTGTTGCTTGAGTTGAAACGGGACCCGAGCATAAGTCTTTTAAAATCAGATGATGATTTTTCTTAGGTTTCAGGGAGAATCATGTATGGTATCCAAGATTTATCTCAGAAACTTTAGATATTGTTGTTCTATGAGCTTTGATTTTACTATTTACTTATTTTAAGCTAAAGCAACACAGTCTAGATGGAGCATTTGTAAAGAGGATATATAACTGGTTGGATCATCATGATCAAGGAGTAGTCATCAATGGTTCAATGTCTGCTTGGGAGGGGTTATTAAATTGTGTTTCCCAGATGGTTGTATTGGGTCTGGTACCATTTAGTATCTTCATTAATAATTTGAAGGGTGGGACTAATTAGCAAATTTGCAGATGACACCAAACTGGTTGGAGTTGCAAATATTTTGAGATTAGGATTAAAGATTCCAGATGACCTGTATGAAATGTAAAAATGGTCCAAAACAAATTAAATTTAGTAAGTACAAGTTCAAAATCCTGCACTTAAGAAGGAACAATCAAATATAGAAATACAAATTGGGAAATGACTGGCAAGGCTACAGCGCTGTAGAAAAGGACCCAAGAGATATTAGTGGACCATAAAATGAATATAATCCAACAGTGTGCTCTTTTTGCAAAGAAAGCCAGTACCATGCTTGGGTTGCATTAACAAGAGTATCACTTGAAAGGCAAGGGCTATGCTTCTTCCACTTTATTCAGTATTAGTGAGGCCTCACTGGTTCCATTTTGGGTCACCACACTTCTTAGAAAGACATAGACAACCTGGAAAGAATCCAGAAGAGAACAGGAAATAATTAGTGATCTAGGAAATGTGACTTAAACAAGAAAAGGTTGAAAGAGCTCAAATTATTTATTTTTTAGAAGAGGAGGCTGAAGGAGGATTTGATAATATTCTTCAAATACTTGAGGTATAGCTATAAAAAAAAAAAAAAAAAAAGAGGGTGATAGATTATTCCATGTGGCTGCAGGGGATAGGAAGTATTAATTTTAAATCACAGCAAGGGAGATGTAGATTGGGTATTAGAAAGACATTTCTCTCTATTTGGGTGACTAAGCATTGGAACAAATCACACAGAGTTTATGGAGTTTCTGCCTTGGAAGTCCTTTAAGTGTACATTAGACAAACACTTGTCTAGAACTGTATAGGCAGGGATTCTTCTGTCTGAGCAGAGGTTGGACTAGATGACCTCCTGTGATCCCTTCCAGCCCTACTTTTCTGTGATTCTATCATTTCAGTTTTCAAGTAATCAAAATAATTTGTTACATTATCTTCCTCCAGGACTCCCAACATTGATAAGTTAGCTAAAGGAGGAGTGATATTCACTCAGCATATAGCAGCATCTCCACTCTGTACCCCAAGCAGGGCAGCTTTTTTGACAGGCCGATACCCAATCAGATCAGGTAAAATACATTGTATTATTATTTATCATTCTTTGAACTACATTTTCTGGTGTCTCTGTTTCAGCGTGGGTTTGTTTTCTTGGGGTCAGGGCAGTGTCCACTAAGTCTCAGTGCTGGGTATGCCTGGTCAACATTTAGAATTCTATTTTAGCCAAAGAAGTTTGGTTGTTTCAAAATACATTGTTCTGCATCAGAACAAAAACTAGAAATTGTGAAATTTCCCATAGAAAAGGAATCTTATAAAAGGTTGAGGGGAAAGCTTAGTATTTTGATTTGATTTTTTCCAAAATGAATCATAGCAGCCAGCAACCCAAATTCCTGGGATTCCTGACCCTGCCCTAACTTCTAGTGATTCTCTCTCTCTCATCACCTACTCCAGAGTTGGATCCAGGGCCAGCCTAGAGAAGCAGATGCAGCCCAGAGATTCCCAGCTTGGCAAAGGAGTTCCCCAGAGTCAGGGAAGTTCCCTATCATGTATTGGGAAACAAGGAATCCTTAGTACCCCAGCTTGAATTAGGTTTTATGGTTCCTGGGCTTCCAAGTTCATAGCGAAGACCTTGGAAGCCCTGGAGGTCCCAACTCTAAGGCAGTCATTGTGTTGTGGCTTCCCCAGAGCCATAGAATCCAGAGATGTTCCTACCTTGTGCTCCAAGAAAGATTGCCCATGACTGAGAATTTTCCACCAATCTACCCACTTGTGTCCAGTAGATGTATTCCAAGGTTCATATGTTAGCAGAAAATGGTTCAGCACAGCCCCAAGAGCATGCCCTGCTACCTTGCACTGTGTTCAGATCACCACCCTTCTCAGGTTTCCAAAGGAACCATGCCTAGTAGCCAAGGTTCTCCAATATCTATGCATATGTTTTAGCAGAACGTTGTCAAGGCTAATGTTTCTATGAAACTTTTTATCTTTAACTCATCAGGATTTTCTAGTCTTCTTTCCATGTACATCTCTGCCATGTTTTCCTTCTTGCACTGTAAGAAGGATTCTATATACATGCAACTTTGTCACAATTCCTGCTTTTAAAATGCTTTATCCATCTACAGCCTGATAAGGTTTTTTTGGGATGGTTAACCGTATAACCTTAACATTCTATTAACATACTCTTTAGCAAAGAACATCATACATTAAATCACATTGCTTGTTCATTAGCAATAATGCATTTCCTGTTCTTGCTTCTGGGAATAAAAGCAAAGCAAGTCTCTGGGTTCTGCTTAATATGTTCCTGTTCATTCAAATCAAATAACAAGCTGCAGCATCAGTTGATAGAATTTGTGGGGTTCTTCCATTAGGCTCTATTTCAAAGAGAAACCAATATTTAAGTATTATAGGATGTGCCACAAGCAGGTCATTTGCCACTGTTACACTTGTTTTTATTTCTGAAAACCTGGTTTGTTGAGCTGAAATTTGATCTGCCCAGAGTCTCATTTAATAACTTTATATATATCTACAAAATAGTAAGTGGACTTTTAATTAAATGTATAGAAGCTTCAAAATGGGGAGAAGTTGCAAACAGCAGAGACACAAAAGTGGACACAGAATAAATACAGAAGATCTCTGAATCATTAGATCCACGGTGGCCAAACTACAGCTCGCGAGCTACATGTGGCTCACCAGCACAGTACTTGTTGCTCTTGCCCCGCTACTTGCCCCTGCCCACTTCTCCAGGGACTGCTGTTTCAGGCACAGGGAAAGCCAGAGCAACTTGACGCTCAGCACCCTCCCCACTCTCTCACCGCGTAGTTCATCACACCCTGACCCCGGTCTCTCACTGGGTTGCTCAGCACCTCGTAGCACCCTGCCCCTCCGCTCTCTCACTGGGTTGCAACCCCACTTCCCCTCCCCAAGCTGTTGAGCTTAATGTGGAGGATCAGGTGTGGCTCCCAGCGTGAGTAACTCCGGCCACCCCTGCATTAGATGCATGGTTAGAAAGTAATTAAGTGAGATTCAACTTGGAAAAAAAAGTTCAGGCTAATAGACCTGAAGAAAAATAATCCAAAACACAAATATTCAACAAAAGGGAAAAACATGGAGGACAGCAGCAATGGTTAAAACATGTTTTTAGTTGCTGGCAGTCAAAGCAGCTTCAGTAATGCCAATAGGATTGCATTGATTTACGCCACATGACAACCTGTTATCTTAAATACTTATTCAAAAATCTGCTTTTTTAGATGACTAAAAGTACCTGTCATTTGAGTAGTGACTTATAGATATTTCTAAGTGTTTTAAAATCTCAGATACAACTGCGCTCCACAGTATTCCTTTTACAATGAGGCACAAAGATGCTATATTATGTTACCAGGGGGTTGGTTGTAGCTGCGTTGGTTTAAGGACATAGACAGACAAGAAACATAAATATGCCAGAAGAAGAAATATAAAACCTGCCAACATATCTCCACCACCCCCACAATAACTACACCATCAGAACCATCACCACTGATCCTCACTGCCACAAGGTTGCATTTTCACACACCTGCATTTTGCACATTGGCTTCTATTCCATCCAGGAGAGCGGATAGACCAGACTCTCTTTATGCCTGAAGGGTGTTAGCGCCCAAAAGCTTGCAAAGAACAATTTTTCCAACTATTTAGTTGATCTCATAATATGACAAGGTTCTTTGGGTAAATGTGATATCTTTTATGTTACCCAAATTCATACAAGTCAATAGCAGTTCTGGGAATAGAACCTTGAAGTGTTGATCTTCAGGTCATCAGTTTAATGCTCACTCACTCTGATAAGCAGCAATTAATTAGGCAAGCCAAATGCTCCCCTAATGTACTTGGATGCATCATAGTATGAACTACAAAGAGAGATGTTCCTGCTTCTATGATACCAGTAATCATTTGATTTTTTTTTATGTGCATTTTTATACTTTTTAATAAATCATCCAACTGAAACAGACTTGTTTCTCATTTACATTTCTTAGCAGTCAGTAGTAAAATGTTTTTCCAGTGTCACCATTTAAAAAAACAAAAAACAAAAACAAACATAATGGACGAAACTTTTTTTCCCTCTTTATTATCCCCTTATAATCTTTTTTTTTTTTCTTTAGGAATGGCTGCATTGTCACAGATTGGCGTCTTCTTATTTTCTGCCTCTTCTGGTGGGCTTCCTTCTGAAGAAATAACTTTTGCCAAACTTGTGAAGCAGAAGGGTTATTCTACAGCCTTAATAGGTACAGTTACACACACACACACACACACACACACACACACACTTGTTTAAAATCAAAGGACCCTTCCAGATATGCAGGTAAATAAATGATAGAGTCTGATGAGCAATCCACACAATTATGCATCCTGCCATGCCACATGTACATGGCAATAGTGCGACTGTGAGACTGATCATCTGATCCCGCTGTGCCTTATTGCTGGGGCAGGGTAAGGCCAGGATCATAATCCCAAATTACCCCTGCACCAGCAAGTAGCAAGATCCCTGTAACAGGTACCTGCTCTGGGCCGACACAAATGTGGCCCGCACCCCTGTTCCTGGGGCAACCGCCTGCCTACTCATCTGCCATGCCTTGTTCTTAATTGATTAAATCAGTGTTGATTAGCAGGAGGCTGCCCTTGTACTGTCCCGCTGCTAGGGGGCGCTATCTGCAGCTCCGTTTCCTCCCCTACACCGCAGTCCACACCTCACCAATGGAATAGTTGTTGGCTCAGGTCTATCACTGTTTGGCCCCTTCCTGTTCTCTCTAGGCCTTCCTTCCTTAGATGCACGCTCCCTCCGGTGCTAGGGCTCTCCCCCGCCCTATCTCACTCTGCACCCTCTTCTCCGGGGCCTTATCTACAATGCTGCCCCCTCTCTGGGGCCTTCTCTGTGATGCTACGCCCTCTCCTGGGCTTACCTCAGCCGCACTGGGGCTTCCCAATAATGCTGCCCTCTCCTGGGGTTCTCCTTGCCCTCACTAGGGCTTCTCAATAATGAATGCGACCCTCTCCTGGGGCTCTCCGTGCCCACACTGGGGCTCCTTAATAATGCTGCCCCCTATCTGGGGCTCACTGTGCCCACACTTGGGCTTCCCAGTAAGGTTACCCCCTATCTGGGCTCACCATGCCCACACTTGGGCTCCTTAAGAATGCTGCCCCCTCTCTGGGGCTCACCATGCCCACACTGGGGCTCCTCCATCAGGCTGCCCCCTCCTATCTGGGGCTTACCATACCCAACTTGGACTTCCCAGTAAGGCTGCCCCCTCTCTGGGGCTCTCCGGAAACTGCCCTCTCCTGGGGCTGGGGTCTATGTACCCTGTACACTGTGCCCTTACTGGCGCTGGGGTCCCCACGCTACTGTGGGTTCCCTATGAGTCCTCCTCCAACCCCTAATAGCCTCACTCAAACCAGCAGTGTAACAAACAGCAACATAAGCTCCAGCCTTCTGGCTATAACTTAAACATAAGCCACCTGGCTATAACAACATTGCTCAAGCATCTTAGAGCTGCCGTAAGCTGTACCTGTGGTCAGGCTTCTTCCTGCATCTTGGCTTAGATAGCTCCTACCTCTCTGGCTGCTGGCAAGGAACTGACTCTGGTTCCAGCCTCTAGGGTTTATAAGGGAACCAGGCCCTGCCCCCTCTGGTCAGCTGACCTTCTTTGGTTGCCCCAGCAACCCACAGCTGAGCACCTTAGTCACTGCTAGGGCTCCCTCCCTAGCAGTTTCCCCTCTTCAGGAGCAGGGCACCTCCGTGCCCTGTGACAATCCCACAGCTAGGAGTCCCATTATCTGATCCAGGCTCCTATCTGCAGGGATGTACCTGGCCACCCATTCAATTAATGGTGTGACAGGGACAAATTTATTACACGACAAAGTTAATACACAATTTTTGTGGAATGGCTTTGTGGCTTATTTTTTGTTTTATGATGCCATTAATTGTTTTAACATAGACTGGGTTACAATTTAAGATGTGCTTAGCTGGGTAGTCACATATTAAATATAACATGTGACAGTGGCCAAAATCACACTAACTTTCTATAGCTCACATTGTATTAATCGACACATTACATTTTCCTACATAATGCAACAAATTTGCTCTTATAGGAGACCTGAGCATATTCAGAGAAAATGCATGCATATACAAAGCACTTAACAACTTGGCTACCTCTTAGTTTGTATTGAAGTAATGCATGGGAGTCCAAATCATGGTTCTGAGACCCATTTTAGAAGGTTCTGTTGCCTAAACCAGGACAGGATACTTTTAACATAGCCAATTCTGATACATCTGTAAGTATAGAAATAATACAGGGTTATAAATCAATCATTTATTATTTTGAAGTGTATAAAATTAAAATATTTTGAAGTGTACTTTAATAATTTGGCAACTGAGGCACTTAGGTTGGGAGGTTTTTTCTGAACTGAGCACATTGAACTTATGGCAATTTTTATTCTAAAGACTCTACTATTTATTTACCAATTGGCAATTTTACAATTTTTAGAAATATCCACTAACTTGAGTTAATGTGATTTCTGGATTCACAACAAATGCCTGAGTTTCACAAGCAAAGTGGTATAGGTTGGAATTACAGATTCTCAGCACCTACAAAAATTAAGCCTGAAATACTGCAGCTTGTAAGGGATAAATACCTTCATCTTTGATATTTTTTAAAGTATGGTGCAATGTTCTAACAAACTCAGAACAGGGAGCTGGTCAGATATGTTCTATAATCTATGTAGAAAAAATGTACCATTGGTACCATTCAGAGATATTCACTAACTTTAACCTGAGTTTAAATCTCAGCACTCCATATACAGTTTAAGGCTGGCTGAATTAAGTTTATTTTTCTGTTTGTAATAAAACCAGCCAATCTAATAGAGCTCATTTTATGGAAATGATTTACCAAATGCTTACTCTTCTTAACTGCTTTCACTGCAACATGACAACCTGTCAGGTCTCCAGATCTGCATGAGGTTATAATGAGATATTTCCTCCAAGTACCTAAATGATAACCTATGAAACCAGGAGATGTGGTATTACCATACCCTTAGAGTATAATGATGCTTTCAAAAAATGAAGGGGAACCTTCAAACTAAGGATGAAGCATGTGTCAATGAAACAAGAAAAATGCTGTATATTGGATGTAAAGATAGGCAGATTTCACCTGCCCTTCCTTTGCTTATATTCTCATCTAATCATCTTGCTACCTCAGGGAGACTTTGCTTGGTTTAATCTAGCTCAGCAGTTCCCAAACATTAATTGTCACATCCTCCACTTGTGATGGATTGTTAGAAGAATGTCTCCATGCCTTCTTGCACCTCAGAGTTGTATTGCCACCATTTCAAACCTCTCTCCCTCTTATTCTATGCTTTTCCTCGACTTCTTCTGCTCTTCTTTCCCTCTACTTTATTTATTTTTTTCTTTTATGTATATATTTTCTTTTGCTTTTTATACACCTCTTTTATCTATATATTTATCTATATTTCTTTTACTGGAGATGAGCATGGGGGACAGGCAGTGGCAGGAGCCAAGCAGAAGAGGGAATCACCGAGGGAGCAGGTGGGAGGCGTGACAAGTGGTGGTGGTGGTACAGGTACCAGGGAATGTAGTCACTGCAGGGAGGGGTGCCTACATGGGAGCTAAGGAATGGTGGAGGCAGTGAGGAGTAAAGGCAAGGGGGTCATATTGGGGTGGCAGCCACCAGGAAGGGCAGGAAGGAGAGGTGCAAGTGCCAGGGGAGAGGCAGATAGTAGGGAGACTTGTAAAAAAGGGTGGGGGTCATGCCATTTGACCCCCTGCCACAGCTTGCCCTGCTGCAGGGTTGGTGGAGACAAATTTGAGATGACTCTCCAAAAATTAGATTCAAGACATTTATAAATTTTCCATGTCTAGTATCTAATTATTGGAGGTTGTCTTAAACTTGAAGCTACCTTGGATTCAGGTAAATACCATATACATGCATTTTTGTAGCTCCCTGCCAGTTCTTCCACAATGCCTATATGCAGCTTGAGGCAGCAAATAAACCTGATTAGATATTTTCTGACAAAAAGGAGCTTTGTCAGAAAATTCTGATTTGTTGAATCTAAAAATGCCTTATTAGTGTGGATTCCTGGTGGTCTGATGATCATAGAATCATAGAAAATTAGGGATGGAAGAGACCTCAGGAGGTCAGCTAGCCCAGCTCCCTGCTCCAAGCAGGCCCATCCCCAACTAGACCATCCCAGCCAAGGCTTTGTCTACCCAGGTCTTAAAAACCTCCAAGGATGGAAATTCCACAACCTCTCTAGGTAATCTGTTCCAGTGGTTTACTATCTTCCTTGTGAGAAAGTTATTTCTCATATCTAACCTACATTTCTTTTGCTACAATTTGAGACTATTGCTCCTTGCACTGTCATCTGCCACCACTAAGAACAGTCCATCCTCATTGGAACCACCCTTCAATAGCTCTCAGTCTTCTCTTCTCTAGACTAAATAAACCCAGTTCCCTCACCCCAGTTTCTCATAAGTCTTGTACTCCAGCCCCCTAACCATTTTTGTTGCCCTCTGCTGGACTCTCCAATTTGTCTACATCCTTTCTATAGTGGGGGGACCCAAAACTGGACACAGTACTCCAGCTGTGCTCTCACCAGTGCCAAATAGAGTGGAATAATCACTTCTGTTGATCTGCTGGCAATACTCCTATTAATGCAGCCCAGTATGCCGTTAGCCTTCTTCGCAACAAGGGCACGCTGTTGTCTCATATTTAACTTATAGTCCACTGTAACCCCCAGGTCCTTTTCTGAAGGGCTCTTGCTTAGCCACTTGGTCCCCAGGCTGTACTGGTTCATGGGATTGTTTATTCCTAAGTGCAGGACCCTGCACCTGTCCTTATTGAACCTCATGAGATTTCTTTTGGTCCAATCCTCCAATTTGTCAAGGTCTCTCTGAACCCTATCCCTATTCTCCAGAGTATCTATTACTTCCCCCAGTTTGGTGTCATCTGCAAACTTGCTGAGGGTACTCCATCCCATATTTCAGGTCATTGATGAATGTATTGAACAAAACCAATCCCAGGACCAACCTGTGGAACACTCCACTTGATGCCAGCTACCAACAGGACATTGTGCCATTGAGTACTACCCTCTGAGCCTGGTGTTTCCAAGGTAGGCAGCTATGGGGCTGCCACATGAATGAGAACTTCCAGGCTCCCAGCAATAGAAATGGAAAAATAAAAGCCCTGAGAGCCTCAGATGTAACAAGCTATAT